CGCAAATGGCTACCATATTGAAAAATATACTATTTTTGTATGATAATTATGGGTTTTGTATTTTATTTTAATAGAAGTTGATGTTGCTTTTGCAATTATCCATCAATTTTTTAAAATTAAACACTATCTACAGATTTGCATCGAAGCGTTTCTTATGATAGTGATTTTAATCACTGTCAGATTAAATCTATCTGGACCCAACTATGCAATGTCTCCACTATGCCGCGACCCCACTGTGCTACCGTTTTATTTATAAGATACTACGATTAGTGATATACTCAAATGAGTTTATAGATGTATACTTAACATAATGCGTATAAATATACACAGGATTTAGTTAATAGCTAATAAAAAAAAAAAATTTATTTCAAACTATGAACTAAAAACACTGATTTAAACAATTAAGTCATAAATTAGTTATTTATATCTATAAATTATAACGTCATTTGTAAAAAATAAAAAAGGTAAACAATATTTNGTCATTTGTAAAAAATAAAAAAGGTAAACAATATTTTTTTGTTTTTTTAGCATATATAACCATATTTTAATTAATTTTTTCAAAAATAAGTTAACATAGTAAAAATTAAAAGATTGTTTAGCATTTTATCAAAAATTGGAAAATATTGTAGAATGCTGTGTCAAATTTATTTCGGAATGTTTTTAGTTGTTACGCCATTGTGCCAATCATCAGAAAGCTATAATGAAGATATACTTGGCTTAGCAACACAAACAGTAAAAAAATTAAAATTTAAAATAAATAATGTAATATTAGAAGTGTCTTTTTTATATTGTAGGTTTCTGACGCACTTGTACGTTTAGATGAATGTCTTGGAAATATGGAACGTATAAAAAATGAAAGGGTAACATTTTAGTGCAGATATTATAATTATAACACAATTATTTTATAATGATTCATAAATAAAAACATCAATGAAATTTAAATTACTGAAAAATGTAAAATATTTATATTAGTATAAAATTTACGAATAAGATAATGTAAGTGATTTTTAAAAGATACATTTTTTCAATGAAATATCTAATTTTCACGAATATAGATGTATAAATGTTTTAAAATATATATAATTTAAACGCAATAAATAATCTTTTATGCAATTTAAGACTATTATATATTATTTTCATATTTTTATCAGATAAGAGAAAAGTTATTGAAGACAAATAATAAAACTTCTTTTCAAAAATTAAATTATGACGACAAAGTAACTATTATTAAAATTAATTTTTTAACACTAAATAATAATTTGATAAACTATAAATATTTAATCAAATTAGTTAAAATATTATTAATAAAAAATGTACTATTCCTCAATCAAAATTCATGAGCGAGATTGAGGGGTAAATCTATAAACATAAATAAAAATAATTTTTTGTGAAAATAAAATTTATGACTTATCAAATATCTGAATTTGTGAAGTACAAGTATTTTGTAATAACACCCCTGTAGTGTATGTATTTATATATCAGATATCAAAATTTAAAATTATTCAATTTGAAGTCTCCTAAAGTTTTTATTAATTAACAATAGGATATTTATTATTTTTATTTACTATCTATTACTATTTATTTTTTAATTCAGTTTTAAATTGTTTTACTAAAAATATTTTTTAAATTAATGAATTTTTTTTTTATTATTTAGCGCTACAACATAATTGTGATTTGAACATTTTTACTTGGCCTTTTTTTTTATTATAACAAGTTTGAAAAAAATCAATTTTTTAAAATAACGTCTCTAAGATATTTTGCATACGTTTAATACACGGTCCTCAAATCGTCCCTGTCATCAGCCACGTTATGACATCGTGAGCCCATCCGAAGTGATTAGAGTACCTTTACTATCCATCTAAGATACCAAGTCTATTCGATCACGGCCAATCACCAAGCACAAATTGTATATATATATATATAGAGTGATTTTTTTATCATAACCCACTCAATTACTTACAGAATAATAATAATTTAAACATTTTTTTTTTTTATTATCTTTAGTTACACATTATTCTTGAATTTTTAACTATGTAATACTTTTTAAGTTCATCCCTTATGCCTTGTAAGGGGGTCAACTTTGTTTTTTTAAATGGTAACACATATTTTTAATTTAATAAAATGTTTGAGTTTTTAATTTAATAGTAAATGGCATTTGAATTTTTAATATAACTTTATTAGCTTATTAGATATAAACATTTAAAGTTTCAAAATTTTGAGTTAATATACATGTATAATACACATGGGATTGTAAATACAGGTAGCTAATTGGATTTTTATGACATTGCTGTCTCAGTCACGGATTGTTTATTATCAATTATGATTATCAATAGATATACTTTCTGTATTGTCAGTTAGTGTATTTATAAACTCATAACAATGTGCCTTACTACAATTGATAATAACAATGCTGTGTACCTGCTAATATCGATGTTATAAAAAACCAATTAGCTACCTGTATTTGTAATCCCTTGTGTATTATACCTGTATATTAATTCAAAAATTTGAAACTTTAAATGATTATATCTAATAAACGAATTAAGTTATATTAAAAATTCAAATGCCATTTACTATTAAATTAAAAACTCAAACATTTTATTAAATTAAAAATATGTGTTACCATTTAAAAAAACAAAGTTGACCCCCCTCCAAGGCATAAGGGATGAACTTAAAAAGTATTACATAGTTAAAAATTCAAGAATAATGTGTAACTAAAGATAATAAAAAAAAAAATGTTTAAATTATTATTATTCTGCAAGTAATTGAGTGGGTTATGATAAAAAAATCACTCTGTATATAATTTTTTAAACTTTTCTTTAGTTAGAGTAGTTAAATTATTGTCAAGAACAAGAGATCGTTATTTATTTTTATTAAAGTATAGTTTTTACCTAACCAGTGTTAAAGTTACTGAATATTGTTACACTTATTGACTTTCTATGGTAAAATATTTGGTATTTTATCGAAACCAACTTAAAATTAATTTTGAAAATACTTTTATATACCTACAGTATATCCTATTATTAATTATTGAAAATATTAGACGACTTTAGATTAGAAAAGTTTTGAAATTTTCAAGTGTTAATTATAAAAACATAGATTATTGGGGTATTTTTACGAAAAACAGGTACTTAAACCGGTAATTAAAAAAACAACCTTATAGTTTAAAGTAGTAAAAGACAATTTATCCCACCTTAGAATAAATAAAAGTAAACAATTGTTTAAAATGAAGTTTTTAGAGTCAAAATATAACTAATTTTTTTAGTTATAATCAAAATTTTTAAGGTTTTTTTTTTAATTTTTAAATTTTACTCTGTGGTTTTATTATTCTTAACCAAATATTTACTATGGGCTAATCGTTAATTTGGTACTGTCTAATACTCGCATTCCATTATATTATAAACTCAAATTTAGCTTCGATGCGAAGGTGTGAAGGTATTAATTTTACCATGATGTGTTTATTTTTTTTTTTGTGTCTGTCACCACTTTTACTCAGCTCTCAGATTTCTTTCAATGACTTGTCAAAAGATCAAAAATCGTATCTAGTTGCAGACATTACCCTTAAAAATTAAAAAATTTTCCCTCGTTCCCCGAAAATGGAAGAAATTTCCAAAAAAATTTGGTAACACATGGGTCTTTTATGCCTGTGGTACTAAATTTTTTCTTAATTCTTTTTGAGTAATAATAAAATGCTTGACTCATTTGATTTTTATCTCATATAGATTCAATAACTTCAATAAATATCATACTAGTACTGTGCCCGTAGTAAATACTTAGATTTCATAGATATTTCTACTCAGAAAAGTGTTTTTAACTATTTTTTTTTCAAATATCAAGTCATTTAGTGTTCCTAAAGAAATTCAGCCAATAATTGAGAAAATTTTCCCAGACTTAACAAGTATTTATTCCATTAAAGATGTCTTGGAAAACTTTGAAAAAATTAATTACACTGATACAACAAATATAATACCAAAATTAAAACAATTCAAAGGTAACAAAAAATATGTTGAATAAATTTACATATTATCAGAGATTGAAAAAAATATATACAGANAAATTTACATGTTATCAGAGATTGAAAAAAATATATATAAAAAAAATATATTTAAATTATTAATATAAAACTAAAAATAGAATATTTAACTCAAAAAGTCACAAAAATCGCGAAATCCAAATCTACCTTCCATAGTTAAAAAAAATAACTCACAATTTGCCTACAATTTCCTTTCAAAAAATAATTCTATGTAATGGTATTCATATCAATTACAAACAATAGATATCTATATTACTTTTAATAAATATGACATAACTTTTAATTAATTTTACATACAATATAATCTATTAAGAATAATTTCTTTATTCGACCATTTCTTATTTACAAAATTTAACAAATATAATTGTATTTTTTATATCAATATAAAAGGTTAGTTTAATAAAATAATTTTATGTGATAGATTTTAGAGGCTAACGTTCAAAGTTAAATGCCAATCTATGATTATTTTTGTACTTCTATAATGGTATTACAAAAATATATTTTTACATTCTCTGTGTTTTTGAGGTTGAAAGAATTCTGAGTTTCTTAATGTAAGCATATATAAATTATTTTGTTAAGTTTAAAATAATATTATTTTTAGAAAATGAATATATTAGCCTTTTAAATTTTCTACAAATTTTGGCGGGTAAATATTACAAAATTCCAAAGCAAATGGTGGAATTATTCAATAATCTTTTTGAAGGATTTCATGATAAGGATACGTTAAAGACGAGATTAATTTCCTTGGATGATTTTAAAAGTGTCTTAGAAAACGTTCTAAATAATGATGATGTCAAGAAAAATATATTAAAAGCTTTTAAAGATATAGAAAATGTGTATTATGAAGGTGCATATCTAATTTAAATTTAATATTTTAACTAAAATTAAAACTATTTTATTTTATTTTAGCATGGTTATTAAAAAAAAGAAAAGATATAAATAGTATTACATTTCGTTCATGTTATTTGAAATTATTGTATAAGGAAGATAAGCATAAGAGTAACTCTTTAACATGAGAGTAGATGATCGTTATTCAAAATAAATCATCATTACAATAGTTGGTTTTTATAACTGCATAATTGTTAATGGTTTATAAACTAAATCATAATAATAATTATAATAATAAATAATAATTATTAAAAATTAGTTCCTCATTTATTTACATATTTTTGTCGACTTGAATACTCAGTAAATAATAAAAATTATATAATTCCGGATCATGCCTCTACTCTATATTAACAATGTTAATAACTTTTAAAATACTTATTTAAAATTTACAATAAATAAATTTTAGACATTTTTTTAGTTGGACAACTTACTAACAATTAATCTATTAAAATTTATATGTTATCCTATAAAAAAATGGTAACATAGTGAGATCGCGAAACCATAATGTGGACGTGGCATAGTTGGGACAAGTATAAATGATACCTGACAGTGTATAATTAACTATCATAAATGCGTTTCAGGATGCATACAGAGAAAATAACATTATTCTGATTAGGTAGTAGTAATATAGTTTATTTGAAAAATATAACATATCTCATGTAAAACGAATATTATACAATATTAATTATCCTAATATAGTGATTTTCAAGTTCCTTCATTTTAGTTTGATATTAATTATTTTACGTATTTATAAAATAATATTTTATGTATAAAGTACTAGGATAGTAACATATAAGTATGTGTGCATAGATAAATACTTAGAAATAAAAATATATATACTTGGTAAATATATTTTTTAATTATATTCAATCATACAATGACGTAGGTGTTAAAAAAGATTAATCATTATGTAAGCAAATGAATGTATATTCTTAAAAATTACAATAATATATTCAAAGATATTTCGTCACTGTTTGCTCAATTTCTATTTCTGATATTTTTTTTATTAAAATTATTATTTTTACACATTTGACATTATTTTCTCTCAGAATCAAAATTAAATTATGAATAATATAATTAAAAAAATTTGTAATGCAGTTTATTTAAGTATTAAAAAACAATATTCAAACAAAATATTAACGACTAACTCTTACACAGTAAATAATAATAAAAAAGCTGGTTAAACTACTTTTTATTTGAATAAGGAATATTTTTTCGATTTTTAAGAGTAATAACTTAAACTAAATACCAATTGTAATTATTTAATGTATCGTTGAAAAAAGTAGATTAAGCGAGGGTTGGAAAAATAAATCGTAGCCACAAAAAGAACGACATAGTAAATTAAATATTAACATGAATATAAATTTCTTCTCACGAGGGGTGACTATAGTGATAGGATGCTTTATATTTATTGAAGTTATTGAATCTAAATGAGATAAATATCAAATGATTTGAAAATTTTATTTTAACTCACAAAAAATGCAACACATTAATTGCCGCAGACGGATTTGAATCTCGTGCAGTAAGCATGAAAGACCCAAGTGTTACCAACTAAGCAACTGTTCGTTGCCTCTTCGCTTGATAAAATTGGCAATTTAAGCTAACTCAAATTTAAAAATTACTTTTTCGACTTTAAAAAGTAAAAAAATTTAAATAAGTTTAATTTCTTATGCTCTATGAACTTTATTCTATGTCAATTAAATTATATAATATTCATGAAAGTCAATGTATTGCCCTTATAAGATATTTTAAAATAAAATAAAATACAAAACCCAAATTTTAATAAAAATATAGCATATTTTTGAATACGGTAGCCATTTGCATATAGAAAATAGGTTGTCGGGATAAATTTTTTTTTTAATTTTATAGTACATGTCATAAGCTATAACTTGACATATGTTTAAAGAACGCAGTATTTCCGGAATATTTTCAAAAGTTAAGTTGAAAAAGTTAGTTTTCGTAAAAAAGTTGCCATTTTCAAATCCCCCCAGTGAGCAGGTTAAGTGTTAAATTTTCAAAAAAATGATATTAAATAAAAGAGAAATATCTAAGGTTATAGTATAAAAAAAAATATGTTGATTTGTAGATTTTTGAAAAAGTTATAGAAGTTTTAAGAAAAAAAAGTGAAAAAAATGACAAAATTTACCAATTATTAAATTTATAATTTTTTTGGAGATTTCTCCTATTTATGGGGAACGAGAGAAAATTTTTCAATTTTTAAGGGTAAGGTCTTCAATTAAATACGATTCGTGATCTTCTGACGTAACATTGAAAGAAATCGGTCCGGTGAGAGCAGAGAAAAAGTGGTGACAGACACAAAAAAAATAAATAAATAAACACATCATGGTAAAATTAATAACTTCTCAGCTTCGCATCGAAGCTAAAAATGTTGGCCAATAATAGTGTTTAAAAAATAATAATTTAATACATGTGACATCCTTGATATATAACAAGTCTTCTTCAGTATTGACACCTTGGTGGTTCTACTAAACTAGATTTATGTGATCAACATAAATTCTCTTATTATTTATTGAATTATCAATATACAGGGTGTTCAGTAAGTCAGGAAACGGGTTTCTATTGTTCTCATTGTTACAAACAATGAGAACAATAGAAACCCGTTTCCTGACTTACTGAACACCCTGTATAAATCTTAACCTAAAATAAAGTATATAACCTTTAAATGTTTAATGTATATATTTTAATGCTATTGTAGCCTTATGATCTAAGGGATACAATGAAAATACTCTCCCTGGTGTTTGGTTGCTACTTGATGTTTTGGCCGATCTGACTCCTTCATGAAACACATGACTTGGTTATCTGAGCCGATGAACATTCTCCATTCCACAGAATCCTCTGCATGAGACCACAGTACTTTAAAACTGTAGAATAGAGTCTACATTCTTCACACCACAATGTGGGTTTTATTTGAAAGCACAGTTATGAACAGAGCACCCATACTGTATTAGCTTACATATTAATTATCTACGGTGTGTAGTAGTACGTATAGTACGTTATAACAATGCATGAGCTTGCAGGTTAGAGAGAACACCACACATATTTTTAAAAACACAGAATGATGCCCACCTAAGTAATATTGCAATAAAAAATATATGAATAGGAAATATATTTATATCTTAAAAAAAAAAAAACAATAGCACATTGGAGCTGCGGCACAGTATAGTCATGGCACAGATGGTACAAGTATAGATGATATTTGACATTGATTAAAATAACTATCATAAGAAACGCTTCGATACTTATTTTAAAAATGTATATAAGAAATGAAAATTAAAATTTGAACATTTCTTTTCAGGAAATAATTTTTTATTAATTATGAATAAACACATTGGTCTACTAGAAATTTTCAACAGAAACTAGAATATACTATTTTAAACCCATTTTTGCGCCGGTTCCAAATCTGCAAATAGATTTCTCCTAACACCTCTTTTTTGAGATTATTACTAATTAGTAAAAAACATAGGTCCTTATCAAATTTCAAATATGAACTAAATATTTGTAAATTACGTTTATTTTAATATCTAATAAATTAAATATGTTTTGCGGTTTTACTTAAGGAAATAATGAACACCGCAATTACTTTTACGAAAAAACTTTATTGATGAAAATTACATTTTTATTGGGCACTCGCGCGTTTGCTACATATTATCTGGACCGGGTGTAAACCGGTACTACTGCTATATTACAATCGTAAAGCTTATCACTACTCAATACACAACATGCCGCCCACCGTTGAACAACAACAACAGAAAATTGTTCAACCATACAACAATATTTTAGAAATATAACAATAAATTATACAACAAAATCAAAATAATAAGAATAATTTAAACATTAAATTACTTATAACAATTAGAACACCGCAAAGCGACGAATTCATCTGATACGAAAAAAAAACAATTTTTAAATACATTAATTATAAGTGCACATATAAATGCATATAAAATTACATTGAGCATACAAATATCAAATATAAAAATACTAAATTCAATAAACGATTATACTAACATATTTTTTTTTCATAGAATAATAATAAATTATGAAGTATAAATTAATACAAGAATACAAACAACAAAATAAACCTTTTTAATTTATTAAAGTTCAGGCTGATTGCCTTTGAACGGCAAGGGACACAAATTACGTACAGCACGTGTAAAAATACCACGTGTTGTTTTAACTTGTGCCACACGAGCCTTACCATCCGCTTCTTCAGTCACACTGACTACTCTCCCTGGGGTCCATTTTAGAGAAGGTACATTGTCCTTGTACAAGATCCTTGTTGTAGTCGAGGATCAGAAGACGACATCCACTTACATCGCTCCTGCAGCTGTTGAAGGTAATCTCGTGACCATGCTACCCATAACTGCTGTGACAACTGCACCACTCTTCTCCTACTCGTAAGTCGGTTTGGTGTTGTAGTGGTTTCATCACGTTCTGGCCATGCATTTAGAGAGTCGCCAATGAGAAAATGGCCTGGCGTGAGAACAGACATGTTGTTTGGATCGTTGGAAAGGGGCGTTAGCGGCCGGAAATTCCAGGTCGCCTCCACACTCACCAACACTGTATTGAGCTTTTCAAACGTCAGTAATGCGTTTTCTAGCGTTTTAAAAAGATGAGACTTTAGCGACTTGACCGCAGCCTCCCATAACCCACCAAAATGGGGCGAACGAGGGAGTATGAAATGCCACTGTATACCGATTTTAGATAGATGATTTATAACTTACTCTTGGTGCTCATTGGACATAAATAAGGAGTGTAGTTCGTCAAGCTAACGTCTTCCACCAACGAAATTCGTAGCATTGTCGCAAAAAATATTTGAACAAAGACTGCGGCAATCACAGAAACGCTGCAGTGCACTGATAAACGCAGGCGTGGTTAGGTCACTTACTAACTCTATGTGAACGGCTTTGGTGGCAAAGTACACAAATATGCACGAGTACGCCTTATTCACGGGGGCTTTTCTTCGTTGACTAGACTTTACGANTCACGGGGGCTTTTCTTCGTTGACTAAAATGGTCCACGAAATCAATACCGGTTTTAATGAACGCCCGGGACAGTTCTAACTGCTATGCGGGCAGATCACCCGTGATCGGCTGGACTACAATGAGCCTATATTTAAAACATGGCACCGAAGCCCGCGCTACCTGTCGTGCAATGTTACATCCATTTAGTGGCCAATATTTTAAACGGATCGACGCCAACATAGATTGCGGTCCACCGTGCATAAGTTTTAAATGCTCGTTAACAAATACTAATTTCGTAAATTCACACTTAGCCG